TTAGAGCTGATTGAGGAGCACAAGGGTGCCGACGTAACCCTGGAGAAGGTGACGAGAACGTTCACACACATGCACACACACACACACACACACACACACACACACACACACACACACACACGCACGCGCGCGGTCAAGTCACGTAAAGCATGAGTAAAACTAAAGACACACACACACACACACACACACACACATTCTCATTCTTTAACAATGGGGTAGGGATGAATTTGCAGTTGAACCACAATAAGGAAGTAAAAAGGCCTTCGAGGAGTTAAGCATAAGAACTGCACAACATATCAACAAAAATTTATAAATGGAAGCATCATTTTTCTGTCCAAACACTCCTTCTCTCTTTTTCACAGCAGACATTTTGTCTTGTCACAGCACACACACACAGGTGTTAATAACATTAACGATGGCATTGTTTTGTTCAAGTATCCCAGTAAATCAAGACAGTGTGACAGTGAGCCAACATGCACACTACCTGGACCCTGAAACCAAGCGGCTAAATGGAATTCAACCGTTATTAATTTTATTATTTACACCTGCATTTTTACTACTAACCCCTAATGCAACATTCACGGTAACTGGTGAATTACTGTTGGGCTAACTGTTGTGTATTTTACTCTTTTTAGTTTACCCCTTGTGGAGTATACACTACATGTATGTTTAGTACACTGTGTTGTACGTCCTATGGGGACTAAAGGTTGACCTTTCACTGTTGATACTTTGTTTCTTCCTGACATGAGGGACAATGTAACAATTTTACAGCAAGCACACTTTTGTGAATTCAGTTTCCTTTTTACTGTACTAATTTATTTTTTACAATAGCTTTGGTCTAACTCTTGCTTATGGAAGCTAATCTTTATTTTTTTTTGCTATCACCATTATTGAATTTGTAGTCCAATAATATTTTATAATACTGTTGCAATGAATGGTCAAAAATGGATGTGCAAGCCTCCACAGACAAGACTCTATACTACAGTTCTAGCATAGTGGCACAAGAAGTCAAAGTGTGTCTTGGAGACAGAGAGAAAGAGTAAGGACAAGTGTTTCTGTGTTGACAGAGAAGAAGAAAAGGTTTCTGCCTCTCGTCTCTGTCTCTGTGTTAGACAGGAGCAGGGAGAGGATCACTGGAGAGGAGCTGGGTAAGGGCGAGAGAGGGAAGAAAACACATGGATGATAGGCCGGGTGCTGGAGAAAGCACAGAGACAGTGTTGCGAAGGTCACTCTCCAGTACACTGCAGAGTGACAGTGTTTGGCTGGGTGTCACATCAGAGAGTTGCCTTATGTCACAAGCAGGAGGTCACATGATTGACATGATGACGTAATGCAGCACTGCACACACATACACACACACACATGCGGAAAAAAAACATGTTACAACAATCCAACAGCACTTAAAAACACAATGAGCCTTTTCAACCATCCTTGACTTGTATTTGGAGGGCTGCTCAATGTTTTCCTATTCTATCTCAGTATTACAATTCTATAAACATACACAAGTAGAATGTAAAAAAAGATACTGTGTAATACCTATCTATCTATCTATCTATCTATCTATCTATCTATCTATCTATCTATCTATCTATCTATCTATCTATCTATCTATCTATCTATCTATCTATCTATCTATCTTATGACCACTAGGTGGAGCCAGGTGGACTGAAAAAATGTCTTCTAAAAAGACATTTGTGTTGTAATTTCTAAAATTGTATCTAAATATAAACTTCAATGAACTTTAAATGTACCTACAGTAACCTTGTGGATTCTGATCATGCCATCAGTCTGTCTCAGTCTCAGTCAGTGGGTTGTCCCTAATTGTAAATCATAGTAAAACAATAGTAAGTCCTGGTGTCCTCTACAGAAGACCAATGGTGGAAAGTAACTAAGTACTATACTAACAATACATAGGTATTGTATTCTAATTTTACTTAAGGAAAATCTGAATAATTCCTTCACTACAGCAAACCTGTTTTTAGGTGAACAAAAAGATTTCACTACCCCTAAAAACCTCCCCAAACTAAGACGTTAACCGGAATTAAACAGCAATTTAAATTCACAAAACCAATAATCACAAAGTAATATACTTGTATTTCCTCTCTCTCTAAACAACCAAAACACATTTTTGTAAACCAAAATTAAAGGTCTAACCACCACTTGTGTTACATCAACATAAAGTCTATGTAGTACAGATGTATTCTGTCAGGATCATCAACACTCAACACAACAGAATGTATTGTATCAGAAACATGAACTGATGGGTCTCAGATGGGAACATATGATGAGTAAATGAGCTGCCATATATCTTAACCTTCATGTTCTCTAGGGAATGGCTGGAAAGCTAAATGTTACAACTTCTTTGGCCAATTATCTTCTGCCAGACTGTGAGAAAAGTGGTAACATTTAACAGCGATGACACAGACAAGAGGTCAAGACTGGACAGAGGACGCCAGTTAAGGTGTGGTGTGCAGAGAGACACTTGATCACCATACTGAATCATTAATTCGCTTTCAACAATTTATTTCGTAACCTGTAATTGGTGACCAGATAAGACACATTAGAGCTTATAACTACAGTAACCATCTTCATTACAGCAATGCAAGAACAACAACCTGCTTCTTCACTCATTGCCCACTAGATGTCACTCTAATGCAAAGATTGTCTCTAGTAGGAAAGATTGGATGATACGTTTACGTGTATTCTTTAAAACAAGAACTTCAAGTGTCAAGAAAGCAGCAAAGTTTTTTGTTCTTTCAGTTGCAAAAGCTGGACATGCTGTCATAACTACCAATAACCATCATAATGTCTAATATGGTGGAGATGGTGGTTTAATTAATTTATCATCCACTCAACATCATTTCTGCAGGCAGTGGCTGTATCTCTAAATGTTTCTGTTCGCTCAAAGCTAGTTTGTTTCTAAGCAATATCATAGCAAGTGTTGTTTTCCATAAGTCAGATGGATCTTGATCAGCATTCCCTCTTACAAACTAATTTAAAACTAATGTTTTTTATGCATCAAACAAAACGCAGCATCTGCGATAACAGACCAATTACATCTCACTCACATTATGAGTGATAATACCAGTGGTTCTCCTGAGCAGAAGTACTGGTGTGTACTAGACTAAAATATGAATACAGCTTACACTGCAGTTCAAGACTAGATCAAAGAGCTCTGTGGTGTTAAGCTGAAATCGATCCTGGGTTAAGACTTATGTGGGTTTGAGGAAAAGTGAGGCCTCTTTTCAAGGGATTTTGGAGACACAGATCAATCAGACCAGCTTTATCTTAGGTTTTTGGTACATCATTTCCACTAAACTTTGCCTGTTATTGTTTTTTTCAGTGCGGGGGTGTACACAGAAAGACCCCAGGCACAATTGTAAGCTACTACATCCCCTCTCAGTTGTACAGGAAAATTGTGGGTTCACTGGTGGAATCCCAGTTATTGCATTTCATATTGGAAATGCTGAGCCCGTGCCAAGGTGATGTTTTTAACCAATCATTCATGTCAAACACAGTGCAACTTTGCCTTATATGCAGAGTTCTAAAATGTGGGGTTTCCAGAGGATAAGTTTGATTTCTGGGGGCCGCAGAAGAAAAAATGCTCCACGGCAAATAATGTAAAGCCCCTGCCCCCCTGAACTTTGGCACGCAGCCTAATGGCTTGGTTCCATTAATAAAACCACAGCTATTCCACATTGCAGCAACACTTTGACACCCAGTTCATAACAGCATCAATCATTTATAATGCATTAAAAAGTCTTATAATAACAGCCATAGGACATACTTACCCCAAGGTACATTTAGTAGCTGTACGGGAGCTTTTGATCATATCACACACTCTTTCTTTTTGCCCAGTTGTCATGAAATTGGAAATGTTTAGTTTCTTTATTTTTTCTGAGCACAACTTAGAAGTTCTTGAAGAGTTCCTAAAAAGATCTGACGGTGAAAGTGATGTTACCAAGGTCAAGAAGTGTGTGTGCAAAGGATGCTTGTGATTGATCCTAAGTATCATAACTGTTTATAATCACTACACCATGTGACAGGTTATATAATGTGTTATTAACATACCAGTGCTCTATGTAAACATAATGAATGGAGAGTTGTTATGGTTGCTATCTACTTCCTCATAAGTCTGTCTGCTTCCAGTAAGTACTAATAATAATAATTCATATTAAATTAATATCATCTGAACATACTGTATCAAAGTTTGTACATGTACATGTAGGCTACATGAAAATGTAACATCATGAGCTTTTTTACTGTTAAGAATCATGCTGCAGAAAGACACAAACATCCTGTTACAGATATCAGCACATCCTGACTTCACTTGACAAAGTCATAAAGACATTACAATTAGCACTAAAAACCTGGATTATCCATTATGGGCTCAAAGCAAAATCTTTACCTCTTGTCACTGGAAATGAGTTACAACTATACCTATAACTACTAGATAACTATAAGCATTTGTAGAATTTGACCTTGGCTGATATGTGCAAAGTGAACACGCAAGCAGTGGCAGAATAAGTATTATACTGCACAATAAAATAACTCAATTATAAGTAAAGGTCTTGCATTTATAATGTTACAAAAAGGACAAGCAATAAAGCAGAATGTTAAAGTGCTATTATGAATGATGTGCTACAGCATTTTAGCTATGTAAGGTGGGGTTCATAACGGCTTTATTTACTGTTGGTAGTTGAAACAGTAATAGTGCATCACATTTTATAAGCGGTGCACATAAAAAGTAACTTTAGCTGTCAAAAAATATGTAAAAAAACGTATTCTCAATTATGTAAGTCAGCCATCGTAAAATGGAAGCACTATTTTGTTTTTGTACTTGTTTTCTTGTGATAATGGGTTATTTATTTTCAAGTTAATATTTAGGCTAGGTTGCTGATATAAGGCCAGGCTTATCATGATGGGAATTTTTAAAGCAGGAAGTTGATGCTTACAGGGAGCCCTTGAATGCAGCATTGTGTTATCTCAGAGCTTCCCCGTGAACAGTTAATGTCTCTGTTGGCCGTCCTTTTCCTTCTCCTCCCACACAGCCAAACCAATACAAACATTTCTGTACAGTGAGGAGATTCTCCAACTACCCGTCCTTGTTAGGGCACCAACAGGAACACTATAGAGAGAGATGGCACAAACCGACAGCCAAAGTTCAACTTTCCCTGAGATAGTGGAGTTAAACGTGGGTGGGCAGGTGTATGTGACCCGACTTGAAACTCTCACCGCGGTCCCCAACTCACTCTTGTGGAGCAAGTTCACTCAGAGCTCCCCGGGCGACCTGCCAAAAGACAGCAAGGGCCGCTTCTTCTTCGACCGAGACGGCTTTCTGTTCCGCTACATTTTGGATTACTTACGGGACTCCGAGCTTTTCCTGCCCGAGTTTTTCAAAGAGAGGAGGAGGCTGCAGAAAGAAGCGGACTTCTTCCAGCTGCCGGAACTGTCGAGGCGGCTGGCAGCGGCCAGTAAAGAAAGCTCGTACGCGGAGGACAGCGGGGAGCCGGAGGAGGCTGAGGTCACCAGCCCGGTCACCTCCTCGTCGGACCGGACCCTGCGCTCTCCCGGGGCCGACGCCGGCTACATCACCATCGGATACAGAGGCAGCTACACCATCGGGAGAGACATCCAGGCGGACGCTAAATTCCGCAGGGTTGCCAGAATAACTGTCTGCAGCAAGATTTCTCTGGCTAAAGAAGTTTTTGGAGAAACCCTGAACGAGAGCCGCGACCCGGACCGACCGCCTGACAAATACACCGCCAGGTATTACCTCAAGTATAACTTTCTGGAGCAGGCGTTTGACCGGCTGGCCGAGGTTGGTTTCCACATGGTAGCCTGCAACTCCACCGGGACGTGCTCGTACAGTGGCAACGACCCAGGGGAAGACAAACTGTGGACCAGTTACACCGAGTATGTTTTCTGCAGGTGAACGAGGCTGAACAGTGCAAGGGGTGCATTCAGGCTCACGACTTGTTTCAACTAAAAATCATCAGTTCCAATAGTTCTTACTTTGATTTACATCCCAAACTGGCAGTTTCAGCATTGTGTAGTTTCTTGTGTTTTTGTCACTCACTCTGCTCTGTGGGTTCAGTGGGAGCAGCAACAGAGTTGAACTTTTCTGCCATTTTTCTCCTCTGTTTGTGCAACAGGCGGATTCACTTATACATCTAATTGGTCAGACCAAATTACTCACTGGGTCCATATCTGGGTTATTTTTATTTCCTGTAACCTTTATGGCTTTCACAGGACTGAAAGACTAAACACTGTTTTGTTCTGAAGTAAGTGGCAGAAATGTTAAGAGCTGGTTTAATTTGGTCCTCATTATTTTGGAGTGTGCTTGCATTGTCATGTTACTGTAGAAAGGCTTTTGATATTCTGAACACATTAATAAGGAAATATGTAAATTTATAGCCTGGTGTTTGGTCTATTATTTCCTAATAACTGCCAAGTGTTTAATGAGGGGTGTGGTGGATAAGGAAGACAGTAAGCCTGGTCTTTGATATGATATTTTTTATTATTTTCATTTTTCTGTAATTCCATTATATCGACCACACATACAGTATCACTGCTTTCAAGATTACACTTAGGGACATTTCCCAATGCTTTATTGTTATGAGCCATGTATTAGCTGTTGTCATTGTTTTCTCTTTAGATATAAAGCTACCGCAAATAAAGTGTGACGTTGTAACACTATCCACCTCATCGTCCCCTTGAGTTCACTGTGAAAACTATTTAAGATCCTTTTTTTTCAAATACACTGATGCTTCTTTTCACAGTCATTTTCTTCTCAGGTCACCAGTGTCCGTGTCCGTGTGATTTCTCTATGAATTTGCCAAAAAGAGAAATTCAGTCATCTTATCTGGCCTCTTCTATAGAAAATTTAATTTAGGCTTTTTATTTGTTATTGTAGGAGCAGATTTCCCTCATGAGTTAAGTCACACTGACCTCACTTATGAATACGTTTACAATCCACCCGCCCCTACTGAATGAGCAATGACCTCAGACTATAATGTCACCAAAATGGTTTGATGAGAATCTGACCTGAATTAAGTCACATCATATTGTTTTTAACATTACATTTTAACATTTATCACATAAATTCAGACGTCACTGAATCAAAAGGAGAAAGAAAGATGGTGTTATTAATAACTTTGTTACAGTCAAATTGCAGCACAAACCTAACTAAATTATATCAGACACAATCTGTTATCGAGTGTGTTGTCTAGTTAAGGCTAACATCTGTTATGCTACAGAAGGCTATGAAATACACACAGTTGTCTTAATTCAGAACTCCATTGTAAAATTGATTATTTCTGCATGCTAAAAATAATTTACACCAACTTGCTCCTCTCAATTTTCCTCACAGAGGTTTATCATATAGTTAAATAATTCTGAACCTTATCAGTTTTTACTACCATTTCAGATGAATTACATTTCCTTTTACCTTAGGAGAAGATTTTATCTCCAGTTTGAGCTAAAATTAAAATAAATGCCAATAAATTGTAGCCAAAAACAACTTGGTTGCCGATCTGGCAGAACATAGCAGAGTGTCTCTGCAATACAGAAGAGCTCTGTTATCTCCCCTGAGCAGGATGGGAAGGAGGAGGAGGGGGGATTTCTCTTTGGCTGACAAGTACAGTAATCAAATGTCTGTTCCCTTGTGGGATCCTGGGGCAAAAATCCAAGCTATCCCAGGATCAAGTCTAATACAAAAAAGGCTTTGTGTGGGTGGTGTTAGAGTGTACTTGAATACAAATGTGTAGAAGGAAAAAATGAATCACTTTCCTGATGTCCAGGAGCACTGAAGCTATGTGGGTTATGTTCCCCATGACTCTATGCAAACATAGTGATATGAAGACATACACACACACACACACACACGTGTATGCACCCCTACAACCCATCCTCCTACACACACTTCTGCTACCAAGGAGCTTTAAAAGCTTCAAAGATAGACATGTCTGCACAAGAGACCTCATATCTGCTGTCAGCTGATGCTGCCATCTGGACAGGAAAAAGGAAGGATCGACCACAACTCTTCCTCTAGTGTGATCTCCAGAAACAGGACGTAGTGCTCGCTGTCCTCACCAACAAAAAGCACACACATTTGTGTGATCTTACTTTGTATGTACATAAGGGAAAAAATGGGTGAATGCTTTAAATTGCCCTGAGAGGGGAGGATGCCTTCCAGTACCTTACACATTCTATTTGGAGAGCTTGTGAAACGATAGGACAAATGGTGGTCAAAAGATGCATAAAACACATCATTAAATTTAAATGTCTTTTTTGGTTCCTCTTAGGCAATCATGAGTTTCTCTGTCAAGCAGCTATTTCTAATACAGACCTTGTTGTGTGTGTCCCTGGTGATAAAACACCTCCAAAACACATTTTACTGGATGTATGCTATTTTTTTCTATAAGAAAACTCTGTCAGGCCAAAAGCTGAAAACTCACACACGCAATCACACATATAAATGAACACACAGAGCGCAGGAGGGAGACAGATAAAGAGAGCCAAATTAGCCAATTTGCAGAGTTGGAGATAACACAGACGTGCTGCTTTCTTCATATCAGCCTCTATGTGCTAAATCTTTCACATTTTCTCTCACAGTGTCTGCCTCTAGCTTACTGCAACCTACATGTCTTTAATAGTGCATAATTTGTATTTATTCTATCTCCAGCTCTTCTGATACAGACACATCACACTGTTTACAGAAAGAACAACGCATGAATAATTAATCCTAGATGGGTTTCTCTTTGTTTAGATCAGGTGTTGGAGCAGAAAATAAAATGTGATGGCCCATAGCTAAATGTAGAAAAAAATCTCCATTGTCCATTTCCATGTTATCTGAAATTTCCCATTTACAGTAGAGCCCCTTCACAGTAATGACAGCAGTGGCTGTTCTCTTTGCATGTATCAATACTGAGTACTGCAAGAATACTTGAGTTATTTCTTAAAAAGGCCAATTTTTCATGCTTGTGCTTCCCAATTAAGCTCAACATTCTGACAGATTGAACACTATCAAAAGGATGGACTGCCTCATAAAAGTCATTAAAATATATGAGCATGTGTTTTTCCACATGATGTTTTCAGAATGGTGAAACTATTTTGCTTGGCTCCCTTGTTATCATCATACAAACATTAGTAGTACCATAGCCACAATGAAGCTTAGTCTAATAGAGAACCAGGTAAACATTTCACAATCCTTAAGTCACCTTCAGTCTACCTAAAACAGCAATATTTCTTTATTAATTAAACAAGGATTTTACTCAACATGGAATGCTCCAAGCTGTCTTCATTTGCAGAGTAGGTATATTTTATTTATGTATGACAGTGTAGTAAATCAGTCTGGGTCACAAATGCAAACATCCAACCAAAAAGGTGTCCTTTAAATTAATAGATCAACAATTTGGGAAATGCACTTATTGCCTTTCTCTAATAGAGAGCTAGATGAGAAGAAGAGTGGTATTACTCTTCTTCTCTACAAAACAATAAGCTGTTCCTTTAAGGACACAATCAGTAAAAACAACAACAACCTCAACATCCCTGTTGGTTAAATTGATTGATTGGTATTCAATTTTTAACTCAAACTCATCATTTTCAATCAAAGTCAAATATTTGTTGTCAAAAATTACGGATTGACCCTTTAAGTATCTGTTTAGTTTCTGGTGAAATGTGCAAATACCAGAACAAACCAGAGCTCTTTAGTTGAGCTTGACAAAACAATGCTAACTCAAGGTCCATTTACTCCCTTGTTCTGGATCTTTTGATCATATGACATGGTTCCATGATTCTGAGCACCTTCTCATTCATGTTTCCTTAAAAAATGAAAACAAAAATGAACTTGAAAACTGACATTTCATTCTTGACAAAGTTGACAAAACAATAACATCTCAAAGTCCACTTACTCGCTTGTTCTGGAGCTTTTACATAGCTCTTTAATTTCCTCAGTTAACTTGATATTGTTAGAGCAAACACTTCACTGTTTTAATAAACCCTGAGAAGTTGTGCAGCCATTAACTCCTAATGTGGAGTACACACATTGTAACAGACCATCACAGGCATACATCACTGCTAACTCAGGCTGTTAGTGTTTGCTAACCACCTGAACCCATAATTAGCCCCATTTAAGTGTTTGTGTTACCAAGCAGTGAAACCATTAAGGGTCCATGTATCATTAACAGCTCTCAGAATTGTGTTCAGCAAAAAAAAAGAAATGTCCTTATGTGTATTTTTGTCTGAATATGATGCATTAGTGACCTTTACTGTTTCTCCAAACTCCACCTGCACTTTCACAAGAAAACAAACACCCTTCCCCAGAGCGGCAGTGTGGCAGAGTCTCTAAAACACTTTAAAACCACAATCCATCATTTGAAAGCCTGTCTTTGTGATTGAATTGTGACACTCTGATCCATAGCAATTTGATGTAGATATCTTTTATTGTGAAACATCATTCAGTTTTACATTCTGACAGTGTTCTTATGGTCATAATGGATTGCAGCTCTATTTACTTTATTTCCTCTTCAGTTACAAGAAGTGATACATTAGCAGGACAGTAAATTCTGGAGTTAATGTTTTACTGTGCGTGTGTGTGTGTGTGTGTGTGTGTGTGTGTGTGTGTGTGTGTGTGTGTGTGTGTGTGTGTGTGTGTGTGTGTGTGTGTGTGTCCAAGTCCACAAACTTCAATCACTACGCTGGAGAAAAGGTAAGAAGCAGGAAATGAAAAGCAATAATAAAGCCAGAACTCTTCTCCCACTGTAAGGCTGTGTTAAGGCCAGCCTCAAATAAGCGTGTTTCATCTTGTACAAGTGAAATCCCAGAAATAAGAAGAGATACAGACCTACTGACAACAAGCTCATGTTCTTTTATATCTTGTTTCTTGTGGCTAAGAGCACAGCAATGCAACACAAAATGAAAAAAAATCAGCTCATGCTTTCAATGATGGCAGTATCACACACCTACAGCCTAGTTTTATTTAAATGGACTGACTCACTCACACTAGATGCAGCAGCATTACATCTATGTGATGTTCTTAATTGGTCTGGCTCTTGCACACAATTTCTTTGCTTTTAAAATGCTTCAGAGTCTCATGTCATGCTATCAGCCAAAAGGAGGACATGGTATAGCTACAGACAGACAGATAAAAATCTATCTGTGATCCTCCAATGGCCATGTTATCGGTCTCCTACAAGGACTCAACCTCAGTGCTTCTGACCATAAAGCTCTCTCCCTGTCTGCTCTGTGTAGCTTTGTTGGATAGAGGGAGGGTGTAAATGTCGCCAGTCTCAGCTGAGCTGCTCTCAGCGCGCAGCGGCAGGCCGGAGATTGGTGCAACTCCCAGTGACAGAGCTGAGCCTTGCACTGTGCCGGTAAACTAAAAGGTAAAAGGCTGCCAGCATCAATCAGCTGCAGGGAACAGAGAGAAAGAGAGGAAGCATCCTCCTCCCCTGCTGTGCCTGCAGCAGGCTTCCTTTCACAAGAAGTGCAACTCCCCCCTCCCTCTCAGGGCTGTCTGAAAGGGCAAGATGTGGAGGAAGCTGATTCAAAGATGGTCTGTGAGATTGTTACTAAGGTCACTTTAATTTGAGCTGTAATGAATAAGAAGATACTGCATTATTTTGTCCTTTGTGCGATGGTTCAACAAAACAGCATTTCCTGTCAGAAACTGACACCTTTCTTTGCATTTGCAGCTAGTCTGGTTTTCATACATTTCAAGATTGTTCCCCTTAACATAACATACAAAAAAGCATTGCATACACATGCAATTTGGATCCAAATAAAATGGCCTTTATTCAGACATGCTAGCAGCAAGGCTCAAGGGATGGCAATGTCAGTCTGCCAGTTGGTTGTTTGGACAGTCCATCACTTTGGTCCAGACTGAAATATCTCAACAGCAATGTCCCCCTCAAGATAAATTGTAATGACATTTCCATCAACGTCATCTGTAGCATTGTCGGCCATATACTGTGGCATTCATTTTTACTTTTGTATATATTGTCATATATTGTATTAAAGGGTACACTTAGACTCATATTATATTTCTATTTCCATTTTTATTTTTACTTATATGTATATACATATATACATTTATATTTTATATATATTATCTTAGACATTGTAATACAATTCTTATTTCTATTCTTTAACATTGTGTGAGCACCTTGAGCAACTGTAACAAATACATTTCCCATCCAAGGATCAATAAAGTATTTCTGATTCTGATACTTTGTGTTTAGTGCAAAGTAGTTCATGTTTGCATGCTAACACACAAAACTAAGATGGTAAACATAACACAGGATAAACATCAGCAGGGCATTGTAGCATGGTGACGTTTGTCTCAAAGAACCACTGTGCCCCAGAGAGCTGCTATTATGGCTATAGACACTAGTCACATTAGAAATCTCTTTCAAGTAATGTGTGCATTTCCAGAGCCCTTGTATGAACAACTGTTGAGTCAGTGTTGGTGAGTGTGATTAACTGCCTTTTAAGAAAGGTTCAAGTTCCTCTCATCATGGCCTGAAAACATCACATTTAGTCATGATCACAGTTTAAATGAGGATTGTTAAAACAGATTCCAGGTTGTCCTCCTGCCTGTTTGTCTGTTGAGCTGGACGTTTTCTGTCACTCTGCCTGTCTGTTTGGGCTCTGGACAATGTTACAGCAGCGATGTTCCACTGAGAAGACACTCACCAGATATCTGCAAGGCACAGCCACGCCCCTTTCTTCCTCGCTGCTTCCTGTTTCAACTAGATAAACAGTCCAGATAGTGCAGTGGTAGCAGATGATTGACAAGTAGACAGAGGGTTAGTGCCACACTTGTAACTTGAAACTATTTCCTCTTGTCATCATGCTTTCCTGTTTGACACATTAAGGTTTATGGAGTCTGTCTTTCAGCATTTTCATGTTGAGCTGTTTGACAGACCCTCCAACTTTATTGTTAGAAAAAACATATATGAATAGTTATGAAACAGTTAGTAAATATCAAAAAGAACAGAACAGAGGATGGACAAGGACAAATCCAGGAGTCATTCAACTTTTAACTACTGAGTTTTTTATTAAAACCTGTCTGAAGCAAACAGGAAAAAACAGTTTTAAAATAATATCAATAACAGCTTCACGGCATCCCAGAATTTCTCCCATGGAAAAAAAAAAATCTTGAGGTTTCTATACACAAAGGAAGACATGAGTCTTAAAAATTCTCAAGACTCTTTGACAAAGACCAGGGTCATGATTTTCCACTTGGCTACTCTGGGGTCATGTCTTAAACAAGAAAAACAGCCACAGTAGCAAATGTCTCATGGTAACTTATACCCTTTTACACATGTCAGTTTGACGGATTAAAAAAACTTCCGTCTTGTAGCTGCCAACAGCTGTCCACTTGTTTGTTTTTAGCACCTAGACACAAAGATGTCTGAGTGCAACCTTTCATTAAGCCTCACAGATTAGGTTTTGCTCATTTCTAAAATAAATGCCCCAAACAGCAATAAAGCATTAAATCTCTGGTAAGCAAAGGAACCAAAAGTTCATATTTTGTTGCACAAGCGTGTAAAGTATTAGTAAGAGGAATGTTTACTGCTCTGTAAACGTCATCCACACCGTCACTCTGGTTAATCTTTCAACTCTCAAGATAAATTTGAAGTAAATAATGTTTCTACACATGCAGTCCGTCCATTCTGTTTGACCCTCCACTGTTTCCGGCTTACTGTACTCGTGGTATTTAAATGGGTCAGGCTGGAGTCACAAGAGTCAGCCGAAACAGATGGAGGACGTCAGAAAGTGAAAAATGTCTCTATTTGCGCCTTTAGGGAACTGAACTCTCCTTTCCAAAAGACCAGGCCACAGAAAACTGAAAGAACATTTCCATCCATCAGGCCAAGAGCACTGGATGACCAATGTTAAACATCTCAGTTTCACTGTCTTGGTCCATATGGAGCTTAGTGCTCCAAGAACCAATGATTTCTCCAAAATAATAAAACAACACACACACACACACACACACACACACACACACACACACACACACACACACACACACACACACACACACACACACACACACACACACACACACACACACACACACACACACACACACACACACCTATTTTTAATGCTTCCTTTTCTCACCTATCTGAACTAAAAGGTGGCATAAAGACAAAAAGTGACAGTTTATAACTGTCAGAGGGAAGTGTGCCAGTGCGGTCTGTGAGCTGTTGCAGACATGATTGACACACAACTACCTCATATGAATGAAATACTGCTTTAAATCCTGCTCCAACACTGTTAAATCACACATAGGCATACCTCAAGATTGAAAGGTAACACAAAATTCAGAACCAACCTTTTACAAACGTTCACATATTTACTTTTACTTTTGTTCTAATCACAGCAAGCTACCACAGACAAACCACTTCTTTCATATGGGATGTCAAAGCCTGAATCTACCATTTTAAGGCATGGCACTTCCCCATTGAAAGGCCAGACCCTGTTCCCTTTTGTTGGCTTAACCTTGCTTCACAGTTCACCAAAATAACAAAACATTTTCTTGCTTACCATTACACAATAGGAGGTAAATGGAATTGTATTTGTGCCATGCAAGCAGTTAAAAAAAAACTTTAATTTGAAGAAAAGAAGAAAATTCCTTTTTACAAGCTATTCATGGGAGTTGTTATAGTTTGTATAAATAAAATGAAAATGAAAGAATACTCTGCAGTGGCAACTAGTGTTTAAAAACATTTAGACATTTTGAAAAGCAGAAAGAGTTCCTTTATACAAAGGAGGAAAAACAAATACTGTGGCTTGCAGCACACCGCTTCAGTGGTTTATAAAAACAGATTTGATTTTCACTAACCTTTGCCAAAAATGTATTTTAAAGCAGCTAGATCTGGACTATGTTCACAAGAAATAACAAGAATTACAAGACTATCTCATGATAAAACACTGTTTGTTTGCCCAATCACTAGATCACTATAGTCAAGTCTGGATAAAAGAAAGTGGAATCCTCTTAAATATATATGCAAGTTCTCAAGAATTTTAACAAATAAGCCTGGTGCTATGGTTTGGTGTTACACATACGAAACAGGATCATTTACCACTAGATTCAAATTTAAAAAGTAAATTTTTAAAATCACCAAATATATATTTACTGATTTAGGTAACAGGTTTACTTGCAGTTCCTTGCCCATATGACCCAATACACAAGAGCAACAAACATAGATTTCAGTCAAATTTTATTTCTGAGAAATGTTGATGCATTACACAGATAAAATGTTGATGCATTACACAACAGATCAGCAGATTCACTAAAGGTTACACTCTTTCACAGATCAGGGCAGGCATAAGATTTGACATTTAAATAAGTATTTATTCTTTGTCCAGTTTCTTGACAGCATAAAACACCTAATTTGAAATGTGCTGCATCTTTGCAGTTACTGTTATTTCTTGTTTATTAATTAGATCCCTGTTAGTAGATGCCATTGTAGTCAGCCAAAGTCATATTAATACACACCTACATGTTTTGCAAGTACTATAGTTTCAATGTCATAAAATTTGACTGGTCAAATAGTGTGACCTCAAATAATTTACGTATATTCAACAATATGACACTGAAATGTCTGTTTTACTATGAGACCAATGATGCCACCATGTGGTACACAAATGAATAAACCCTCATAGATAATGTTCACTTTATTTTCAAAAACATTTAAATTTTGCCCATTTTCACGCAAGAAATACCTGCATTTTCCCAAAGTGCACTTGGTGAGATTACAATAGAACAGAAAGTGCAACAGTACAAGTTGAAATGTGCCTCCATACATGGGCTACATTAACAAGAAATATATATCTTTAATGCACTATTGAGCAAATATCAAATATAGCACAAGGATATGACAAATAGCAACACTAACATTAAAATAAAAGAATTAATCAAATACTAATAATTCCCATGATTACTTATTTTATATATTAAATCTAAATTTTCTTAGAAACACATTTGCAGACTAGAGGACAGACAAACAAAGTACTATATTAACCATATTTGATTTTTAAGAAACAGCCATTAAGAGTCTACTTTGCCTAGCTTGTCAAAATTTTACATCACATAATAGAGTTTATAGTTTTACCAGCAATTATTGTCGGACACAAAAGTCATGGCTTGGCTGCGTGGACGATGTTTCCACTGTGTTCTCATCGTTTTATTCAACAGCAATCCCCACTGATTCAGCTGCTTACTCTATAATCTGGAGTACAACGTTTTCGTCACATGGCGGGGGCAACAGCGGCTGAAATTTTAATAAACATTAATGATAGTTAGATTTTTACTTGACAAGTAAATACAATGCACGTTTGGTTTTAGTGTTGCTCATAGCAGGGACATTGGCCATTGAAGAGCAATCATATTGATTTAGAAAGAGATAAAAACAACAATCTTGGAAGGCTAGTGACATTTGGAACCGAAACTGAGGTTTGACATGTTTTTTGAGACATGTTGAGGTCATTGTCTCACAAAAAAACAATACTCACACTTGAGTTGGAAATAGCAGGGCTCACAGTAGGGTTTCCTGTTTCGGATTCGAACCTGGACTCCAATCTCAGTTCCTCCGAGATGTCGGTGGCAGCCCACACACTGAGAGGAGGAAGATGTGAAAAACGAATTGAGGAAACCCAGCTGACCTTGTAACGTGGGCCTTTTGTGTCTAAATCATTTCACCAGATTGTCTGCCACCCAAGCACAGAACAACTAAGCTTTGTTTTAGCATAAAAACACATACAATATATAAATACTCTATTAGTGCTATGTGTGTCTCTAACTCACATGGAACAGAGTTCCAGAAGTGAATTGACTTTTACATCTACATGCTAAATAACCTAGGTCAACTAAACCTGGGGGTCCTCTGCCAGTGAGAACTTCACAATAAGCATCTAAAAGCGAAGCATGACTCAACCAGTCATATGCAGAAAACTAGAAGCTGTGAGAGAAATAGCACACAGGACTACCACACCAGACATGACAACCAGGCCAGATGCCTTACACAGACTAGGAAACAGACTGTATAGGAAAGGTAGAAGCACAGAAAGGTGGCAATGCTCCTGCTAGCAGGTGCCTATAAAAAGGCAATATGAGACTCCTGCTGACCTTAATAAAGGTATGGTCACAGTCTTCAGTCTAATTAAATTTTCCCACAATGAGCACAAATAAAGGGTGTATGCTGCAGAATGACTGTAGGTGTAAGCAGTCTCTAGTCGAGTTTCCATACAAATGTAGAGCAGATTTTAAACAAAATTTCAAGAAAATATAAAGAGAAAATGCAAATTAATACGCGTCTCCATTGACTACTGTGATGCGATTATTAGGAGTAGGTTCATCAAGATAAACAGCTAGTGGTGCTAATTTTCCAGTTGGGTGCCTTTAAACCACTGCAGAAGCAGAGGGAAGAACGACATGACGTAATTAAAAGAGTGCCATGTAGAAAATGTGATGGAAATATTGCCAATTTGTGTCATGTATTTATCTATTATTGTGTATGTGCATATATTATACACACACACACACACACATTTATTTTTGCTTTAATTATATTTAAAAATTGCACTTTGGTCTACACCTGTCATTTTGAAATTCCATAAACAAATTTGACAGCCTTTACTATTCATTTTATGTCCACACTTTGATGTTTTCATCTGCAGTCATTTATTTTCTCTCCAGTGCAGCGGAAGCTTGAATGACAAATAAGTCACATGTCATAATTTATTTACCGTTTCCATTGCATGTTGTTTTTAACTCAATGCACCATCTTTTCCACCTCAGTTAAGGCAATATTTGATTTATTTTCACATTTTTATGCACAAAATGAAAATGTGCGTCAAATCAGGTGCGAGGAAACACACTAAATGAGAGAGATAGTGTGTTTTTTTTAAATAATAACTTTTTCATTTCCAATAGAATGCATCGCTGTTTCTATTGGCAAACCATGTGAACTCACGGATCAAAGTTCAACAAAGGTGAACCCTGACCTGTGAGACTGCCGGACCAAAACATGAACCGCTTCCATAGAAGTGAATGAGAGACAGTAATTATTTGCAGGGATTGGAGCTACTGTGACCGCACCTTAACCTGGTCATGACCTCTCACCTGGAAACAGGCGAGGTGGAAGCAGAGACTAAGGGCCTCTATGACCATGGCTGCCCCACTACCCAGGACACGCTCACACACACAGCAAGTCCTCCTGCCACTGATCATCCTGGGGCAGCACATGTTAACAGTGAGAGGCCAAAATGTATGAGAAGACATAAAAAACAAAAACAACACACCACAAGATGCACGGGAAACTGGGTCTATATTGACCTGAATTACATACCTGCCATGCTGAGAGGGATCCATGCATGTATTTCTCTGGGATAACATTGCTCCAGTGCTGTAGCGGGAGAAGGAATTCCGACTCGGAGCACAGTAACCTGCAGCAGAGTGTGGACGAGGGTAACTGAACGTAGCGGTCGAGAGTAAGGACTGACGCAAAGTGTCCAGGTTGTCCAGAGACTCAACCCTGCAGAGAAGAGAGGTAATGTCATAAGAAAACAGCTGCCCAATGAGCAGTGGAGTCCCATGTGGTATAAATACTGGACACCCACCTCTTCAGAGGAACCCCAACATAGATGGGTTCCTTGTAAAAGCCGCTGCTGCGCTGACGTATCCAGCTGTTGTCGGTCAGAAGCTGAGTCCTTTTCTTCATCTCCTCCAAAATCTGCTGCCTTTCTTTCTCAACCTTAGACACAGACTGTCCTTTTCTTTTCCTTTCATCACCTGGACCAATCAAAGTTTGGGGGGGGTTAGCCCAGAATGTCAACAGAACAGATGGAAATATTACGACTGAAGGGTAGACTAACCTCTTGTCTGTTTGTAGGGACCAGCTAATGCTGGCGTAGACAAGGATTTTGCCCTATGGTAGGAGAAAGCAGATTTATATAAAATTGCCTTCTTTAATAAGGATTTATTTAGTAGGGAAAAAAAGGGGTTTTAGGGACTAGTTGTAAATAATAGTGACCTAACAAAAACGGCCAATAATCTTGCTTCACATTACGTATTTTCACACACATACAATAATGTGCTATGTTTGCTGACAAACATACAACACTAGCGCCTTTATGCCCAAAGCTAAATAGTAAGAACTATTTTACAGTAAGGAGGCCCAAGTCTTACTGACTGTTTGAAAATAAGAAACTGAGTTAGTCTTGTTCTGACCTGTGAGCAGGAGACAGCTGAGCAAAGCCACAGGAGTCCTCAGCCCTGAGGTACAGCACGAAAAGCATGGAAGCCCAGCAAAAGCAACAGGAAGCAGAACAGATTCAGCAACAACAGCAGTGTAGAAAAAATAAAATAAAACTCATGACAGGCCAAAAATCGCTAAATAGAATTTCTTGAACCTCGCTTTTAATAGTAAGCACAATGAGCGCACATACATATGGCACACTGTAAAAAGGAGAAAAAAAAGTTTATTTACCAGGCTCGTTCAGTAATATTGTTATTCTGCACTCTCTGTGCATTACTTTGAGGTCTTGATCCTGCTTCTTTCAGCTCATCTCTGTCAGGGATCCGCTCTGCTTCTCTGGTTTTGTTGGTCAATCCATTCACATGGAGCTGGGCGCTGGCACGGCTCTCACCACCAGTGGTCATCTCAAAGGTGTTCTCCTTCAAATGCATGAAAACAAAGAAATTACATTCTATACAAAATATCTAAAAGCACAGAATTTTCCTGTCAGCACTCTCATTGTATGGTCTCATTCTTAAAGTGGTCTACTATCATCACAATGTTGAGGAAAACATAGAATCAAATAAAAAGTACTGTTAATGCACACACTTACATACATGCTTTTTTCCTATGGTGACTAAGTAGAGAAAAATCTAACTATCATTTTTCATGATCATTTAATTACAACTAAAACGCTTGAAAAAGGCTCCAAGGACCGCACAACATTACCCCTGACTTCCTGCATAACTCCCCCATTGCATCTTGCTGTGCCCTCCGCCACTCTGCCTCCAGCCTCTCATGATCCCGTTGGTATTGCTCCTGAAAAACAGACACAGACAGACACACAGACACACAGACACACAGACACAGACACAGACACAGACAGACAGACAGACAGACAGACAGACAGACAGACAGACAGACACACAATTACAGTTTAGATGATGATTAAGGTTAAGGTGTTAACCTCCTTGGTGGTGTGTAGTTCTATGTTGAAGAAAAGAATCTTCACCTGTAGGAGGCGCTCCTGCTCTTCCTGCCACTTCTCCTGACGCCTTCGATCCTCCTCACGGTCCCAGGACCAGCTGCATGAGGAGGGGCTGAGGGATGGCACCTGCAGCTGGTGATGCACAAACAGACTCAAACATGATCACAGTGCAGCACACAACCTCTTTCAACACACACACTTAATGTTTGAACATGCATACAACACCCTTTGATCAAGTGGTAACTTACGTCAGATATTGCAGATTCTGACCCTCCTGTGTAAGAAAAATAACAAGTCAGAGAAGAAAACAGCATACAATAGCTCCCAAAGATAGTTAGGATGTGTGTAATATCATAGTGTAGTTCACACATACAGCAAAAAGGCTGGGGACACATTAGATGACTCTTAACCGAGGATCAGACAGAAATACTCATAATACACTTTACTTTGTTTATCCTAGTGACCCCTGGCAATCTTTTGATGCACTGACTCCAGAGCTAGAGATCAAGACAAAAATACGATGCTGGACAAAATGAAAGCAACTATAATTTTGCTCTTTGTAGAGCTTTGCCTGCATCACTGGCTCAAATATCTGGTCATAACTTTCAAAAGGTTACCACCTCACCTTTGATAGATACACATGTCTGTGTAGATGAGAGTAGTTAAGATTAAATCTGCAGACCTCTCTTTGCCAGCCAGCAGCATGTCTGTATGTAAATCAGCACAATAATCTGCTAATGTATCCCCAGCCTAGAGATAAGCAAGCAAAAACTTAAAGAGAGTTGAGCACAGAGTTAAGCATGCCACTGTTTTGTTTTTGTTTTTTTAAATGTGAATTCACATGTTGTATGACAACTCTGCTTTCTTCATCTGTTGATGATGTTCTGCAACTGATTGCGTCTTGCTCAGAGTACAGTTAAGAAAACACTACACACAGAGGAAACATTTACCACACAAGTAAACCCATGAGCTGAATCCTGCAGAGCCTGAAGAGAGAAGCCATTGTAGTGGGACAAACATCAGATTCATTAACATACCACAAAGAATTGCATTACAAATCAGCCATTGTGCAAAAGAATGAGAGAGTGACCAATTAAAAACGACAACCCATTAACACAACAAACTATGAGATACTATGTCAGAAAAAAAAGCACTGGTTGCACAGAACACACACTAGTATACAGTATATCATAGACATGATCAGTGCTGTCAGCTCTGTGGTTGCTGGGTAAAGTTGTGTCAAGACAAGCCCTGTTTTGTGTCCGTTTGCAAAAAACACACAAATAGCTTTTTGACTGATGAATTTAGAGAAAAAGCTAAATCTTTAGTAGTTGTTATAGTTAGTATGTGCTTAGATTATGCTATGATTAAAATACACCCTGTTAAAGTACTACATTCATGTTATTATGGTAATATTAAAATTAAAGTTCTCATGTAATCACTGTGCATTATCTGATTCTTTTTAATCACTGTAGCAGTCCCTTCCCTTTATAAAAGCACACTGAAAATGTGCAGGGATTTTTTCTGCCCAACAATTAACCAAGCCAAGCACCAGCCACCAAAGCTGCTACACAAGAGGTCCAGCCTCAAACTAAAATTTTACCTGTCTGTCGGAAAAATTCTGCCCTCCTTTTCTGATTATTCCGAATAATATTATTATAATCTACATGAAGAGGAAGGATGGATAAGGTGAGACATTACATACTATATCTGAGGAGTTATTATCACGGGAGATGTTTGTCATGTTTTGAGTTGTATTGCTTTTGCAGACTTTATGCCCATCATTACCTTTACTTCTGGCTGTCCTGTGGTTGTCAGCAAGCTCTCCAAGCATGACTTTACCTTGTATAACCTGGGCAGGTGAGAGAACACCAAGATTCACCTGATGAGCACCACTAATTAAGCTGCGCTATTAGAAGAGCTTTTCAGATCCAATTTTTGAATTCAAGCGATAACTGTCTAAAACATTGCTCACATTGTCCGGCTGCCCATCTAATTTGGACACTTTTCTGACTGTGGTTTCTGTAGAGGCACCACTGTTGGCATGGTGATCAAGGCAACCTGTCAGAACGGGCGCTGCAGCAGTCAGATTGAGGGTCATCGTGCTCTGGCCTGGCTGGTTGTGATGACTCCCCTCACTGCTGCTCCAATCTAATGAAAACAACCAGCCATCAAAACTAAGACCACACTATAAACCAATCTTTGTGACCCACTGGTTAGAAGTTAGAGGTTAAATTATCACAAATCATAACAGGAGGCTGAAACAAGTCTTTTTTTTAGGGCATTATCTTACCCTTGTTGCCATAGCGCCGAATGTCCATGGTCAGACTGCCGGTTTGCAGGGAAGATGTCATTTTATCCTTCCACTGGGTGTAGTTCATGTGTGCCAGCGCAACTCCATTAACAGCCACAATCTCATCGTCCACACACAGCTGGCAAAGCGCTGCTGGACTGCCTGAGGAGGGAGGGAGGGAGCGAGACAGGTGTCAGGAAAATGAAGAAAGATGAGAACGAGGACAGGAAAACATAAAAAAGCATCCGAAATAATATGTTTAGCACCAACTGAAAAACAAGCTGCAGTATTGAGGACAAGGTTTCTGCTCCAAGTTCAAAAGTAGGCCAGTAAGCCAAAACTACATAGCGGTGAGTAAGTGACACCTGCTCTCACATCCAATTAAATATTCATGGTTGAGTTTTAAATCTCTGGCTACATTTTGTAGGCTGTTTTTTATGCATGTACAGTAAATGTACTGTTCATCTAATCCATTATAATAATCTGTTTGGGTTACCAAAATCTATTAAAGACATTTATCTTTTTTTTTTAGCATAAAAGTGACTTATTTGCCCATTTCCAGCCACATGAGAATCTGCTTGTCTTAGTTCTAATCAAATTTCCTCAGTAACATCATTTGTTTGTGCTTCGGTAGTGACAATTAGTTTATGCTCTGTCGGTACTGACATCTGTCAGTGTCTTACTGACTGTTTCAATGTGCAGGATGTTAGAACAAATTTCCTAATCTACACAGTATTTTCCAAGCAAAGACTTAATTCCCATTGCTGTGTCAACCTGACAAAAAAATGACAAAGCAAAACAATACAAATCAAAAATACACAGCTACTCATGGAAGAGTACACATCAAATAAACAAATTCAACCCCAGTTTCTTCATAGCCAATATACTTAAATGAAATATGTTGAATATAAACCTTTTCCTCTCTTTTATCCCTCACCAACTGAAACTTCAACAAATACTTTGCACCCCTCAGTTGTTATATTATATACATAAAACTAGGTTTAAGTATTAAAGGTAACTTTTTCTTAATGTAATCAATGCTTGCCATAAATGGGATTTAAGTGAGCTGAAATGTCAGCAACCCAGAGTTGAATATAGCACTTACCAGGTTTAATAAATTTGATTCTCGCCCCTGTGGAGTCCCAATGAATCTGGAAACCAAAGTCTGGTCTACTGTTGGGTTTAAGTGTAAGGCTCACTCTCATGTCACTGTGATCCACCTGAAACACACACACACACACACACACACACACACACACACACACACACACACACACACACACACACACACACACACACACACACACACACACACACACACACACACACACACACACACACACACACACACACACACACACACACACACACACACACACACACACACACACACACACACACACACACACACACACACACACACACACACACACACACAAAAGTGACACCCTGTGATCCAATGTCCTCTGCTTCCTGGTGGAAACTAAATACTACAGTGGCCTGCTACAAAGATATAGTAAGGGATACCAAGGGACCACTTTATTATGTACAATGCAGTGCAATCATCACAGCAGCCCTGTAACAACTGTCATGTGAAGTTTATAATGTTCAAGTTTTGGTATTCAATACTTTAATTAGTGGTGGTACGGCATTATATTTACAGAACACCTCATAGATAGCGTCACAAACTGAACATTATCAGCTTCAAAGAGATACGCTGGTAACTCAGTATATTAGGCATGTAATAGGAAGTTTAGGGCTAATGCAGTTTAAAGGCCCTGCACACCCACACAGGTGTTCCCACTTACTCTGCTGATTAAATTAAATTACGTAGTGCTTAGGTTGAAGTTGGCCGGAGCCATGCAAAGTCACCGAAGTCAATGCACCGATAGCAAAGCTATAAAAAGGAGTCGTCTCAACTTGTCATGGCAGGAAAAGCACAGGCGAAACATGGCCGTGAGCTTGCATGCACAAAACACCAGGACCCTGGAACTAGCTTACCTAAATGGAATACAATTGTTTTTAATGTTATCAATTACACCTGTGTTTTCTTGCTATAACGAGGCAAAATGTCTGCAGTGAAAAAGTTTGGGTGAGGGAAGACCCTCAAAGAATATGAACTTTTACATTGTATCTACTAACCACTTTATTTTTCAAGGTTTGCTATTCCCCAATATGTATGTTTTAGTCTACACAAATAATAAGCTATTTTATTAAGAACAATCATTAATTATGTCGCAATACAAAATGGCCATTTTTCTATATCCATCAACACTGACTAGCGCGATCTCCTCTGCACGCCGATCATGACATCTCAGACAGTGAAATCCAAGAGCGGTGTTCATTAATTTGCCGGTTTGATTTTAATAAGTCACCTATCAAGTCACAATAAATATCAGCAGATAGTGACCATTGCCTGATCACTGCAAGTAAAATAGCTTAAAAATACTTATTTGGTTCTTGGGTGTTCTTCTAAGCCAACTTTGGCCCATTTCATTTGTCTATTGACCAAAGGGCACCGTCACTGACCAATAGGTGAAACTGATTTGATAATCCCCAATTAGAGTACAGTTTGATACAACATAATGAAATCCTAGACCTAAATATTATAACGTTTCAAAGATACATCAATCAAGTACATCAATATATACACAGTACAAATGCTATGTGCTGAAAGATAATACACCATACCTTTGGGTGATCAATACTGGAATTAGGTGGGAGACTTGAGCTTTTGTTGTGGTGCGCCTGCAGGTTGGAATAAGGTTGCCGTAGTAGCTGGGCTTGGGTATGGGACTGATGGTGATAGCCGTTGGTCTGGGTGAAAAGAGTGGCACCTTTCACCTCTTCCCGCTGTTCTGTACCATTCTGCTTTGGTTCTGCCTGATTAGCTTTCTGCTGTCTGACTGAAGCCTGGTACTGACCCTTTAGATGTGCGGTCGCAGTCTGTCTTTTGAGCGAAGATTCGGTGGGTGTAGAAAGAGATTCCTCTTTCTCACTTTTCAATAGCAGACCCTGGTTGTCGTCTACCTGGAGATAAACAAAAATGTGCCCAGGAGGTTAGTACATTCGATTGCTCCATTTATTCTGCAGCATTCAAATGTGACTGTACTGATAGTTGGATGTCGACACCACACAGAAAATAAAATTGTGTAATCTTGTAGTGAGTTGACAGTGTTCACAATGGTGTAGCAGCATTATTTATGAGGATGACGATCCAAGAAAACAAAAAGGTAACACACACTCACACACTCATTACATTAACAAGTTTGAGGCTGACTATAAACGTCTATATGCACCCTCCTCAGTACTAAACTCACACATTGTAACCATGACTATGTAAAATAAAATTAGCAGGTGGCAGGCTCTATGCTACCATGCGGCTAAACTCCAATACATTCAAAGTGCAACAGTGCTATAGCTGTGATAACCACTGAACTCACATTGAACAGTCTCGGCAGAGAGGACACCCTGGACTGCTTGGTGCCAAAGGGTCTGGCTGTGATTGCAGAAGAGAGACGGGATGAGCCCTCGGACCTCCGGTAACCACGAGGAAGGCTGGCTGAGCCGGACCACGACCCAGTTCTGGACAAGTACTTGTAGACGCCTGCAGGCTGCTGTCCTCTGCCTTGCTCCACAGCTGGTTCCCAAGATGTCTTCTGTTTTTCTTCCTGGGACTTGTGGTTCTGGTGGTCAACTCCTGGCAGATTAACTGAATCAGGACAAAAGGTTGAAACTTTTGGATCAGCGCAGAATGGAAATTCCTTGTGACTTGACATAGATGCAGTAGGATCCCTGGTGCTGGTTGACTTTGTGGTCTTGTTTGGCTGTATAGTTGTTACCAAAGTTGAGATTTGGTTTGTAAAAACATGTTCTGGCTGGGCCAGTTTAGATGTTGGCTCAAAAGGAGCTGGGCTGCCCTTGGCTTTCACTTGGGTCTGGGAGCTGAAGGGGCAGTCCAGAGAAGGTGTAGTGACTCCTGCTCCATCTGAAGCCAGGGAAGCAAAGTGGGTCTCTTCTCCCAAGATGTTCCCATCTGAGGCAGGCATGGCTCCAACTGATGATCCCTGAGAAGAAAGAAATCCACACTGCCTAAAGATCTGCCATGTAACAGAGTAAATCCATTATACACCTTGCTTTGCACAACTGCACCTTAATCTGAGGAACTTTTCCTGTTATCATTCATACAGGCATTTCCATCAAGTATATACTAAAGAAAACTATGTCCATTAAGGTAATCAAGGTAAAACAGAACAGACGGTACAAGAATTTACCTGAGTGTGGGCTGACTTATGGGGGCAAAGTGGAGCTGTAGAGCTGAAAGGTGCCTCAATAGCGTAAGTGCGGGCCAGCAGAGCTCGAGTACGTGGCCGGAGATCAGAGCTCGATGATTTTGATGGAGAGGAGGTGGAGTAAGGACGGGGGCAGAGCTGTGCCTGCGTGGTGACGGTTGGTCTCTGGGGGAATTGGCATGTAAGGGAAGAGGAGCCAATGTAATAAAGGAAGCAGAAAAGATGGAGGGGGGGGGGGGGGGTATCCTATTACATGAGTTCACTGTGGCATACTAAACAGTTATCACGCTAGGTCAGCAGCTTTTCATATAGACTTTAAAATTCTTGGTAGCAACAGGGTTTGGAAGTGTAAGCTTTTATTCATTATATCCATTACATTTGGAGCAGGAGTGTACCTCTTTAGCAGTCCGCTTGCTTCTTTTTTCTCAAAGTTAGACCCATTGATCATCTGGTTAATGACATGCTCTCTGTCTTGAGACTTCCTGCGGAGGTCAGACTTGGTGCTCCTGCGACGATTCTTCCACTTTGTTAAATCCTGAGACAAGTGCATAGCCCAGTAACACTGTTGCAGGTGTGCATATTCTTTGGCTCAAAAAACTTTTTCAAAGAGCTTTCAAGAGTTATTTTAACTTAAGGACTGCTGTTAAACTCTGAAAGTCCAAGTTAACAGGGAAATAACAGTGTAACTCAAAAGCTCTGTAACAAGTACTAAATGGACCTTACAGTAAGATTATTTTGTCAACTTTTTTGTTGTAAGACTTTATACTTACATCCTGCCACTGAGCTTCAGTGTCCTTGGCAGCAACGCTACACTTGCGTTTGTTCTCTTGATTCCACTCTCTTGTAATGCCAGTGTCCTGGCCCACATCATAAACAGGGTTCCCATCAGAAACTTTACGCACAGGGTATACCATCGGGATGTCACTGAGTGATTTGCTCCTAGTTCATACAGACAAAGAGGCAGGATATGGAAATAAATAACAGACATACAGAGCAAACACATATGGCATTTAAAACACTGCAGTTGCATGAAAGTGTCACACCATGTAGCAGAAAAAGCATGATGAACAGTAGTACTGAAAAGCAGTGCACGCAAACATGCCATCTTACACTGACAATTCATTTCTGTATGTGCTCAATGCCACACATACACACAGAGTACATGACAAGCCAGTAAGCCACAGTATTAACAGCTGCTACACGGCACATTCTGCATCCAAACAACAGAATCCTTAGCCAAGTGTGAGCAGGAGAGTAGCATGCAAGTTAAGTAACGCAGCATTACAAATGGCAACAGATGTTGCTGTCTGGATAACACAAAAACCATGACTTGTAACAAGTAATAGCACTGCTGTGGGCAACAGAAGATGTCAGATGTGACATTCAAATAACTTACAGCAGCATTTAGCAGGTGGTATATCAAAACAGTGACATAATTTGATGAGAGGAACCAAGACTGATTACAAACAATCCTGTAGTTTTTCATTAATTCTACTGTCAAGTCTCTGCCCAGAAAATTAATAGTGGGCGGTTTACCAAGTGCTCCATCTTCATGAAAAGGCAAATTATGTTTGCAGCATAATTTCCTTTGTAGGTAAGCTAAATAAAAATAAAAGCACACCCAGAAGAAGCAGGAACAAAGCAGCTATGGGCAGGGCAGCCTCAGACATCTTTGCTCCAGTTTCATGCCCAAACCTTTGTGACTTACCAAATCCAGCCAGGATTGACCTGAACTGGTCTCTCAGCTTTGACTTGGATTTGATATGCTCTACAGAACCAAAGAAACAGACACGAAGACCGGTGAATGCCATTATGCATCTAAATATAAAGCAATGTTATTTACAGATACAACACATATGGCTTCAGTACCACAGCTCTAATACAAACCTGCCACACACACACACACACACACACACACACACACACACACACACACACACACACACACACACACACACACACACACACACACACACACACACACACACACACACACACACACACACACACACACACACACACACACACACACACACACACACACACACACACACACACACACACACACACACACACACACACACACACACACACACACAAAGAAGATCTTGGTAGAACAAGTGTTTAATACATAAATTCACATGTTGCACAATATTTTAGACAGATTATTGACCCACTAAAGCCATATTCACACAGAAAGTAAACTGAAAAACATTAGTGCTGGCACAAAAGGTGTTATAAATAACATGATTCTGTTATGGCTATCGAAGTATGACACAACGCCCGAGTCATCTGTTTCACCATTATGAACTAATGAGTCACTCAGCATGGTGCTGTTAAAAAGTCCTCACATCATCAGCATTATAAAAAAAAGGAACAAGCATGAACAGTACAAATTCAAAGCACATTTAATTTTCCTGTCAACTTCATAAAACACCTATTTAATAAAGAGCTATAATTTGCATCTTTACAAAATTATGTTGTTTGCTGATGGAGATTTGCAAATGCAAAAGTAACAGGTGCACTTGGTACTTGATGAGATAAAAAAACAAAAAAAAAACACTGTTAGAGCTTGTGTCAACAGGTTTTAAAAGCTTGCATGGTTTGTGTGTTTAGGACTATGTCTGTGCGTTGGGTATGAATCTTCAGGACAGGAGTGAATGTGCAGGCTTGGAGAGAGTTTCTTGGAGATGCTTTTCAGGCTCTCCAGGTGTGGAAGAGAGGTTCTGTACAGTAGCTGATGTCACAAGCCAGGAAATGAAGTCAAAGTCAAACTCTTCCACAGCAGAACCCAAAGCTCTGTGGCTACAGTCAAGATAGGGAACAGAAGATGCATGAAATGAGTACAAGATTATTTTACAGTAGACTTGTAAAAAATAACAAAGGAGAATACATAGGATAAAACTTTGCATAACGGTTTAGCAGACATGCCATTTTTTTTGCAAACTAGCCCTTGCTGTTTCTCTGTGCCTAGCAAACTAGCTTTTAGTTTGCTGGCGTACTTAAGCTGGATTTATAAACTTCTACCACACGCTAAAGCCTAAAAACCCTAATCAACAGTGCCAGAGCAAGGTTTTGTTTAGCACCACACAGAAAAAGTTAGATTTCAGTTCAGCCTGTCAGCCATGTAATGTCTTTGCTTCTTTAAAGTTACCAAGATTACTTGCTGTTCAAGCAATGCATTAACAACTTAGCACATTAAGCATACAGCAGCAGTAGAAAACTGCAGCTTCAGCTTTGCCTTGTATTAGTTTTGAGAAAATCTTAAAAGCTTTCACACTTGCACTATCAGCACTGCCTTGCATCATAGAGCAGTAAAAATACAGACCTTAAGCCTTGAATTTTACGATACCAGGGTCTTCTTTGGGAGCCAAGGTAGATTGTGCGCACACGAATCTCCTCTTCAGGTGTCCAATATCGGGGTAAGAAGCGGTCATAGGTAGGGTTGGTAGATGTTTGATGAAGGCTCTGCTGCACTCGCCGGAAATACAAGTCATCTAGGACAGGGTCTGCCTCAGTATATTCATCTTCTGAGTCTTCCTCACACAGAGCTTGCAGGAAAAACTCTTCATCGAAGGCACACTCAGAAGGAGACACAGCAAGGTGGGGTTGAGGAGAGAGGGGGGCATCTTCAATGCTGCAGCAAAGAGTGGTACACCCACATCTGCATTTATTCGCAGCTGATGGTGATGATCACACAGACATCGCTTTGGATGAAATAGTTACACCAAGTATCTCAGAAATGATCTGACAGCACAAAGCCGCTCCAAAATGTTAAAAGGCAGGAGTGTGACTGATGATTAATGCATGAAGGCATATTCACAGTTTTTGAGGATAAGGGTTAGACAGTGTTTTTCCATTTCCAAGCACTGCAGCAGTAGGTATTGTGATAAAGTTATAATGACAGAGCCGAGCAGATCACCGACATCCACAGTTCACACACAAGCTCAATACTGAATTGACTAGTAGGATGAAAATAGAGCTTTCTGCCAACACCTTGGCCTGCCGCATCAAATATTGTATACTGTAGATAAAGAGTCTCAACTGCAATTTAATATAAGAAACTCCAGACTGCCTGAAAGCACATCAGCCCTTAACAGATTTGAAAATTGGGAAATTTGCTACAAAATGAGTTTCATTTACAAACAATCCATTTTATTATACTAGTGATGGATATTATTGAGCACAGTTCTACTCATCACAGCATTTGCCACATACAGTAAAGTATTAGGATAACTAATACTGTATGTTACTGTTAGTATTACACAGACTGGGGGTCAGGAATGAAATTATCTTTCTTCTTAAATGAAGTTGTTCATGTATATATATATACTATTCAAATACAAATAAAAAAAAAGGAAAATGTTTAACTGACTGAGAAATTGAACATTAAAGCAAATTAAAATAACAGCAGCTATGATAGGTAAATTAGTAGCGCATTTTCAGTACCTGGCGAGTGGACTAGTACAGCCCCTTCCATTCTGCTCCAGGTCAGGTTTTCTCCGTAGGAGTGACGGTGGGATATAACCCTTGTTTTGAGTTGAGGGCTGGGTGGTCTCCATCTTGAACACCTGCTCAGCTTCTGCGTCACTTCCACAACCTTGCAATCGCACAAACATGGAAAATGAGCAACAGAAAAGATCAAAGTTTTAAGAACAATGAGGGGGAACATACGCTGCAATCAACTAACAAGAAAAGTGAGTGGACCAAGAATGCATTACAGGTAAACGAAAGAGAAGGTCTCAATATCAGATCGTAACAGAAGAACCTTTAGTGGATGACTGAGTCTTCACACAGCCAAGCCTCTACCAAGTACTGTGCCATGTATTTTATCCTCTCCCATCACACACACTTTTATCAGCACAGTGTGGAACTTGCCACAATCTATCACTGACGTGCACTGAGAACAAGCACATCAGAGTGCAGACAAATGACAGACTGAGTCAGAAGATCAGCTTGAAAAATGTTGTTGATCCCAAAACAAAAATAGGTTCATCAAGTGCAATAACATGGTTGCATACTAAATTGTTAACTGATAAATACATCTGTTTTGGCATGTTCTTTTGCAGATCATCTATCTAATCCATCTGTGGCGAGGAAGTGATGTCTTCCACTCTAGCAAAAGCTGCAACAGCAGTTTGTATGGAACCAGTATCAGCAGGGTTAGCTTGCACAGAGAACAGAGCTTTAAGAGCAGAAACAAGAAGCATCAGAAACCTGCAACTCTACCGGCATTGAAATAGAGTTCAAAGCAAAGACAAAAAAGGTGTCAGTATTGGCCTGTGTTTTCTTACCAATTCATTTCAGAAAATTGTAGTGCATAACTTTTAAAGTCACTATATTTTACACCCAAACTAAAAGGGATTCACACTTCAGGTGGAGTGGCACAAAAAAATTGACTGGAAGGAGGTTGTATGGAGAAAGCACAGGTAAACGTACCTTCATTGTTTGGGTGGAGGGCTCTAGAATCCAGTGAGTCGATGCTGTCCACAGAGTGCTCCATCTTGTAGCTCGGTATTACACGCAGACATTCCTCCCTCTCTGGGTACAAGGACTCTTTGTACCCGCTGTCTTTCACAAACACATTACTGCCCTCATCCAAAGCCTGGATTTAGAAGGCAGGGTTAATGTAGATAACAAATACATAAAAAGGAGTAGAACTGTGTTAAAAGCCTGGAAAAGCTGCTTACCTTGGACAAAGCCAACCCTAACAACCCTTCAAAAGCCTTAAAGTTAAGCTGAGGACCACTGTAGAAGGGGTCCAGGTGAGCCTTGCGACCCAACCAGTAGATTGTGATCAGAACCTGAGAAAGAGTGAACAAAGTACATGTATGGGGTACACAAATCAGACCACACACATATGCCTACACGTTTAGCAGCCCTAGCATCTTTTTCCCTGCCCCCCATCTAGGGGTGGCCAAGTCACAACATAAAAAGCCCACCTAGATCTAACTCATCTTCTCCAATTCAAAAACTCAAACCCAAGAGACTGACTTCTGATGTTCAATATCTTACTTGTAGAGTGAACAGTTTTGCAGACTAGGAAGCAGGATTGGCCCCAGGGTGGCCAAGGCAGACAAAAAACAGTGTTTACTGATGTAGTAAAAAGACTAAGTACAATGCTGTAGACTGCTACACAGATGCTGTTCAAGGGACAATATGTATACAGTAGATTTGTGCATTAAGGTGTCAATAGCCACACAAACAGCTCTGTAAGGGTGTACTTAGGCATGATTATGTTATACAGGTATAATATTAATCATCCTAGTTTAGTGTGCCAGCATAATAATAGTTGCGATTTAGCTCTGGACAAATTACAATTTTGACCTGATGATGGTGCTAGATGAAAAGTCATGATATTACAATTCATCCTGAGGGTGACATAAATGCATGTACCAATTTTCATTATTAAATCAATCTCAAAATCAAATATCAAATCTTAATCACTCAATACCAAAAATGTGTAGTGCTGGAGGAAAGGTCAGTAGAAGACCAAACACATGGGGATTGATTATCTGCTGGTGCAAAAGAAAGAAAATGAAAGCTTTTAGGATTCATCCTCTAGGGACAATGAACATCTGTATTAAATTTCATGGCAATCCATCCAACTGTTTGAAATATTTCAGTCTTGACAAAAGAAATTGCCATAGCAATATTGATGGCAATGCAACTAGCATGGCAAAAAAACACAACTAGGGAAATTACTTTACTTTCTATAAACGCAGAATATGACATGCTATCCTCAAAGCATCACCCACAAGAAATACTGGTGATGCGAGGCACGTGGCCTCCGTGAGACAGCTGAAAACACTGGTACTGAATACTGTTGACAGTCAGACACACTCCTGACAACCATTAGTAAAGACAGTGAGTAAAGGCCTGTGAAATATGTCTCTTCCTGGCATTTAATGTTTTATTATTTCAGCAAGCAAAGCGTTTTGGACACGATTTATTTCTCATTTGCCTTGAGGCGAGGGATTTTTTTTTTTTGACAGACTGCCTTTCTCCCTGGCAGAGCAGCTGCCTGTGCTGCAAAGGGATATCCACAAGACTACGTGTCAGAATTTCTCCATCTCTATCTTAACAAAGTCATCATAGAGCGGTCAGCAGATTGAAAAAAAATCCATGAAGGGCCTTCAGAGATGATTGAATTGACTAAATGTTTTATAGTACAATGCTAGTTAGATGAAAAGGATGAGAATTTTGAGTTGTACTAAATGTGTCTGTATGGATTACCCATTATGCTCGTTCAGTGTCTGTAGCGGGTACCTTAGCAGTCAATAAGCTTGCACTGAATACAGAAATGATCTTCTAGTTCTAGCAATCAATGTCATTGTAAGACAGAAAATTATATAATTTACTTTACTTTTTAATTTTTCAGCACAAATGATGTACAAATACCTTCTAAAATGTGCAGTTTTTCAAAAATAGGCATATATGTTGGATATTTAGGTCTGTTTGAGCCATTAGCACTAGTTTTCCCTAATTTGCATAACCTAAGAGTAAGCAAGCGTTGAGGTCTTATGTCAATCTTAAGCACAGGAACAGGATGTGCTCATTATTCTCTAATAGCTTGCCACCTATCTCATGCCAAGGAAATCATTACACTGCATACAATAGGCCACCACAGGTTAATCCTATTTAGTGGTAATATTTGCCATACATGATTTTATTTATAGGACATTATTTATCATCAGGTCCTGTCAACGATGGCCCTAATTTCCCATCAGTGTTGGCTCATGCTTTATATTTTAGGAATAAATAAAAAAAGGAAGAGGATGTTGGATATTAAAGATTTGTAACCAGACCCAACTATAATGAACAATATACATATAAATGTCCCTTCAAATAAAGAAACAAATTCTTACTTAATGTGAACGTAATCCTCTTTTGTTTAAGATCCAATAGCAGATGTTAAAATTAACCCACATTACATCACTACTCCATGTAAAAACAGTGAGATATTTGTGCATCTGGTTGCTCTGACCATGCTGAAAGCAAATTGACCCTAATTGGTTAATTCAAAGAGAAATGCTACACCCATTTCACAGAAAGAGTGCTCTGACAAACAGCCTCATTACTGAGTCCAAGTTGTCAGCTATTGTGTGATTCAAATGAGGCTTCCCAGATAACCAAACATCCTCCTAAGCTTCTAAACATGTAAAATACCAGCAGTGCATGCAAGCGTGTACATACAGCACTCACATGTTCCATTAGTGCAGTTGGGAGGGACGATTTTATAGATAGTTTGAGGCATAGTAATACAAGACTACATTTTGGCACAGACTAGGAGGTTTAAAGGTCCAGTCTGTAACACCTACAAACATCTATTGGCCGAAATGGAATATAATATTCATCTGTATGTTTTCAATAGTGCAGAATCACTTGAAAATAGGAATCCTTTCATTACCTTAGAATGAGCAGTTGAACAGTTGGGAGCTGTCTTTAGTTAGTTGTAGGGCTGTAACGGTTCTGATACCGAGATCGAAAACGCGACACAAAAGTCCATGGTCTTGTGTCACGGATCCAAGAGACAGAACCGCGACTCACTCGCTCCCTGGACTGTTGAGCTCTCGAAGGGCTTGACAGTGTAACTGCAGCGGTGGCGGCGGCCCGTGGGGCGGTAGCGGTGTACGCCTATATCGTATTTGTATTGACAGTAAAGTTATTCTAGGTCATTTTCCACCTTATTTTAGTGTTTATTTACTGCTCCCTTTCTCTTCTCCCCACACTCGCACACAGCACACACACATAGCCTGGACCTCTGGTCACTCACGGCAAACACGCCCGCTTGCTCCGCCTCGTTCTGTCTCTCTCTCCCTGTGTGTGTCTCTAATGACTTTCTCCATCAGCAGTACGTTTCATAAACTCACCCGTGATTCAGTTTTCAAGAAAACCGCGGTATGAACCGAACCGTGGCTCAAAAATCGAGGTCTGAACCGAACTGTGGATTTGGTGACCCGTAGTTAGTTGCAATGTGCAACTTCACCACTAGATCCCACTAAATCCTACACACTAGTCCTTTAATGCCAGAATATTGTGATCAGGGCCAAACTCATATAAGCAAAACAACACCCTTGATCATCATCACTCAGTGACTTGATGCTGGTGGTAATCGTTTACCACTGACTATCTCCCATGTAGATAAATTCAGTTTTAGGGGTCCTTTTCCACGTGAAGTGGAGCAGGACAGACAAGTTTTTAAAACTCATTGGCCAAGGGAGGGAATCAGGAAAATATATGAATGATGTAAAAAAACTAATTAGTGGATAAATGGAACAGTTATCCTGCTCAAACTTACATTTTTGAGTCTTCTGTTGCCTTCATCTCGCCTAAAATAAGGAAAGACAGAAATGAGTGATGTTCCTTATACTGTAATCTATAGTATGACTGCATGCACTGTACTAAACACTAAAATGCAATGACTTGCAAACAGAGGCTACAGTGACATCTCAAGCCATCTAATTTGCAATGCTCTATTAATCAGCTACTTATCAGAATTTATAGAGGAAACAGGCTATAAACTCGTCTAAAGCAGCAGATTGTCAGGCAAAGCTCATACCTTTATTAATGCAAAATAGCTGTGAGATACATGCACAAACTATAAACCTTTTTCACAAGTTGAACTTCATACGTACAATATGTGCTTCTCTGTGCTGGCGTGAGCACCTTTAGCTTTTGGACAGTTGTAAACGTGCACCTAACCTGACATGACACTGCTTCTTAAAGACAACTGTACCTGAGTGTTGCACGAGTGGACAGGTCCTGCAGGTCTCCTGGATGAAACAGCTGTGACACGTTCAGTCCCAGTTTCCCACAGGCTTTCAGGAATACACTCACATTATCCTGGGGATTCAAATTACAGAGACTAAATGAGCCACTTCAAAATAGAAGAGAATGCAGAGAACTGGCACAGTGTCAGAAGAGGTTGTTGATGATGTTGTTTGGGATCAGATATTGGTTAATGGAGGGTTAAGTCAGAGCTAAAATTCAATTTAAAGCTCCACTGTGTAGGATTTAGTGGCATCTAGTGATGTAGTTGCAGATCACAGAAAGTGTAAGAAATGTGCGAGAAACGTGAACGTCCCTATCTAGAGCCAGTGTTTGGTTTGTCCCTTCTGGGCTATTGTAGAAACATGGCGGTTTACAATGACAGCTCCTATGGTAACAAAAACACAACGATTCTTATTTTCAGGTGATTATACATTAATGAAAACATAGTTATGCATTATATTCAATTTGGGCCAATAGCTCCTCCTAAACAAAGGGCCTTTAAATGTAACGTGTAATGTAAACTTACAATTAATTTTATGAAGACTTACTGCCCAGTGTTATTTTCATTAAGATTTTCATTAAACATTAGATTAACTATGAATAAATGAACATTTGTTCAAATAACTTTTCAACATGATGCTCGTTTTTACTGCATTTATTACCACAAAAAAGGTAATTATTCTCCTCATCTTTAGGGGGTGACCTTAGTTGAAATTACATATGTTAGCAGCGAATTATATCAGCAATAGCCAATAAGTATTGGTTGTGGGAGGTTGATTAAACGTAGCCGTTGTCTGGAAACATTGAACTCTGCTAGGAATGGCCTGTAACATCATGCTCCGTTAAAGACGTTTAACTGACTTTAAAAACACCAGTCGGCGCTTTATAGCTCAGTTAACAACTAGCTCAGCAGCAGTAGTCAAAATCTTAGCTAAGCAACTATTTTATTGTTTGTCATTTTTTTTTAAGATTAGGGAGCAATTTTAGGTTCTCTCACTTTAGGGAGGGTTAGTCAGATAATGCTTTGGCATTCTCTAATGGCAAATAGACAAACTGCTGCTGCTGCTGGATGAGAGTCTGAACTGAACACAAAATGCATGTACTGTTTTTAGTGTTATAATCTATACTGATCAATTTTTATTTTATCCTTTATCTATGTTTTCTACTTGCCATGCAAATATAAGTTTACCAAAAATAAAAAGAAAGATAAATATTTACTTTGATTAGTTACCCATGTCAATTAATGAGTTCAAAAGTACCACAAACAATTCTGTACTTAACATATTTAAATAATTGCTTGAAGGGTGAACAAATCTAAAGTCAATACAGACACACCTGTGTTATACTTTTGTATATCTTAGCTGTAATGTATTCCATTTGTGGTTAATAAGTTAAAACATGCAAAACCACCAGTATGGTCCTTAAGGCTGTCAAAGTAACTGCTGCATCTGCACACCCCACCATCACCACCATCACTCTGGCATCCACGTTGGGCTCTGTCTATTTATTGGCCCCTGATGGGAGGTTGCAATTGATCTTTCCCTGTCCTTGCTTAGGGCATTTCTGGCAATTATACTTGTGTGAAGCCATTGAAACACAGCCTGAAGCCAAAATAAAAATCTGCATTTACATTTATGCCCAATAAAAAAATAAAAAAATAAAAACACATTACATATTCAGCTATTGGGCTGTCGCCCTGAAATGCAGTTTCAAGATCATTCTGTTGTGGCAAGACTGTCTCTCAGTGCCTTTAACAGGAAACCACACAATGTGTCAAAACTTCCTGGCTAACAGGTGCCTTCTTATTTTCTTCTGCACTTGTTTTATACATAGTAAACAGACAATTACACATTACAATTGTCTACATGGCTCAGATCTTTACAGAGATCTTCTACATTGTTTGACACCCAAGGGTAAAGAATACACTGCCTGCAGCACACAGGCAGGCTACCTGTTACACACACACACACACACACACACACACACACACACAAAATAAGAAATGTAAAACACTCACAAGGCCAGCAATGGGAGTAGAAAGCCTGTTTAATCTCTTAATGATGCCAGGTTTCAACTGATTGATCAAGCTAAAAGTGAAAACAAAAAACAACAACAAACAGTTTATGAATATTCCAGCTTTATGCAGCACATATTTCAGAACCAATATCGTATTGGGTCCCACTCCACAAAATTTGCTAAATAGAATAGGACTTAATAATCCTGATTTAACTTTTAATAAAGAGATACATTTAAAATGAGAAATGCAACAAAATAAAAAGGTTCACCTCACTTGTAAAACAGTTTGACTGTCTTAGATGTAGAACCAAGTGCTTTAAGCTAAGTTCCATAACTATGCTTCTGCGCTAACCTACTAGCCTAGATGTGTTGCCCAAATGCCTTTCATTTGTTGGCCTCATTGTTCTTTTGTGGCTACAAGCTGAGTCAGCAGTTATTTAAAAATGTGTTTTGGAAGAAAATGGCGAGGCTGTAGAAACAGAAAGAAAATCTCATCTGATGGTCTGTATTGCATTTAATTACATTTATTTACCTTAACTTATAAGCATGTTTAGAGATACTAAAGAACCTCCAGAGGGCAGCAATTTGCAAATTGTGCAAATTGGTTCAGTGCTCCTGCTGAAGCTAAGCTAGCAAATTAGCCTAACTACACTCTCATAGGTTTGCATGGTAATTTAGCTTGAATTTAAATCGTGAAATCGAGTATCAGTACTCACTCGCAAAGCAGGACTCCGTTCTCTAAGGCAGCACGGAAGTTGTTGCAACCAAATGATTTTCCAGTCACTTCCTGAGAAAAAAAACAAACAAAACTGTTCAGATTACATCCATTGAACATGTGATTTATTTATTTTGTGTTGTCTGTATTTTAAAGTTGAGAATCTATGTTTTCCAATTTTCCAAGAGTGTCGCTTTCGAAAATTTGACCAAGAAAGTCTCCAACAGTTGGATCCGAATAGCGTTTTCACAATTTTTTCCCCACTCAGGATATAACAACTGATATTGGCTAACAAATTATTAGCTAATATCTATTTGCATATTGGTGCTTGTGTATGTCAGTCGATCTTTAAGTAAAGTAAGTAAATAATCTAAACTCAAAACATGGTTTTATCGCACTGCCACCGCTGATTTTATCAAATTTTTATTCTATTTAGGAGTTTGGAAATTGTAATTATTATTTTTTTTGTACCTTGATTCTTTTATTGCTGTGTTTTTAGTTTCTATGCTATGTTTTATTTGTTCTTTGCTTTTTATGTGAAGAATTTTGTAACTTCGCTGTACTGGAGAAAAGACTTAAAAGTACTTTAATTCAACTGTTTGGTTCAACTGTTGAAGAATGAGCTGGACCGTTATACACTCCTGGTAAAAGACACATAAAGCTGTTCAGTGGCAGTGAAAAAAAACAACTATGGTAGAAATAAGGAATACAAGGCCCTGAAGTTCATTAAAATAATTCCACCATGCAAGCATTTCCCTTTGTTGTAGTTGTCCTCAACAGTAAAACAAAGGTTAAATAAATTAAGTAAGCTGGGTACTATTAAGATTTAGCCCAAACACCTGAAAAATCCGCCAACTGCTGCACAAAAACGAGGCCTAAAATATCTCGACATACAAATAATCTACAGAGAAAAACAATGGGCCATAAAAAAAACATATGTGGACAAGCATTCCTAAAACAAATTAAAACTATGCTTTCGTTCAAATCAAAGAATACAACATAACCTAAATGATTTTACATGGCAGAAGGAAGCACAAGGCAATGGGGGTTTGTAATGAGGACATAAAAATGGGGCTATTAAGGTTCGGCTCCATAACTAACAGAGGGCCCCAAAAGGCTATTCTTCTCACTAATTAGTACCCCCAGGAATCCACAATCACAATTCGTTTGTGGTAGGACTGGGCACCAAGCATGGAGCTTCCAAGTGGAATCAGACAAACAATGTAGTGCCAGCTTAACACAATAAAACACAATCATGTGGTCAAGATACTAGTCTGTTCTAGAGCACCAAAACTTTAATTGGTCATTTCAATAAACAATTGCCCCTATGAAACCACAGATTCAATTGATTTCAACCATATGGTCTTAAGTGTGACAGAGAGCTTTACCCAATCCAAAAAGCATCAAACAAGGCAATTATCTTAAATAAAGACATAACTACTAAATCTACGTGATCCAGGTCATGAAGCCAATAGAATGGGAAAAAAATAGAGCTGAGATGATTAGTAGATTAATCAGTTAAACAGGCAAGTATTCATTTATACATATTTAAAGCAAAATTCTCCAAACATTTTCTAGGTCCAGCTTCTCAAATGTGAGGATATGTCACACATGAAGGTAAACTGAATATCTTCGGATTTTAGACTATTGATCGGATAAAACAAGATATCTGTCACCTTGGGCTAAGGGAAAATATTTTTCACTGTTTTATGATATTTATAGGCAAAATGACTAATCAAAAAATTAACTGGCAGATTAATTGGTAATGGAGATGATACTAAGTTTAACGCAAAGTCAAATTTAAGATAAAATGCACTACATTTAAAGGGGATAATTTCCTCTTGTTAAGGAGATGAGAATCACTGATCTAATACAGAAGAACACCTGCTTAAAAATTGGACCATGCTGTTCCCATTTCTCCCAAAACTAAATAACCTGTTTACATAATGTAGAAGAGGCCGATCCATTCTTATTTCTCATCCAGTCCAGTGGCATTGAGCAAACATTTACATGTAATTGCTGCTGGTACTGCTGCTAATGATAAACAGCAACATATTTCTGGACACTTAAATATATGGAAGCTTATTATCCTGCAATCTGTAACACCAAATATTGTTGTTTGGCGCAAGGAAAGAGCTTATGACACCATTTACCATTTCCTTAAAAAGCAGCATGCTTTGCTTCCCTCTAACACACACATACACACAGATCACTGTTCATCCATGCTTTCATCTGTCAGTGCAGGGAAATAGACGGGTAAAATTGGCACAGGCTCACTGCCAAGAGAGCTCTGCACAGAATTCTCATAATGATCCACTCAGACACAATTGACATTAATGGTCCCATTTTAGAGTTGGTCAACATTCAGTGCCCACAGTCTACAAGTTGTGTTCACTGGTTATGATTTAAGGATTACAACTTCTACAATGTTTGGACATAAGCAGCCTATAACAACCTAGACAATACATTGCTCTAAAACCACATCCTCAACAACGTGCATGGGAAAACCTTCCACTGTGTGCCTATCACATTAACCGCAATAAGTGTGCAAAGGGCTCTTACGAACTACTCAAAACAAGCCACATAAGCAAATCTAACCCAACAAGTACATCACATCTCAGTGGAAAGACACTAATGAGCAAACCTCATAGGCATGCTACTGCACAAATTATTCATCTCTCTTTTCTTTTAAACATTACTTAATTATCTGCCTTCCTTCCATGTGCATTTCCCTCTGAAGCTCTGTGACTCCTGCAGTCAAATCATTTTTTATCTGCACAAACCACAGAAGATTGTTGCACAGGGCTCTCTGTGTCAGGAGGCAAACATTTTAGTCTTATCAAGGCCTGTTTTGCATTTGAACTCAAAGATAATGTAAAGGTGCCTCACTTTAGGTTTATGAGTGTTATGTTCACCAACTGTTTCTAGTCAGAGAGACAAACATTTTCAAGAGATCTTTCACGGCTGAAATGACTGACACTGACTAATATAGAACATTTCCTGTCCCCAGAAAGGGGGTTAAATGACTGACTGGCAAACAAATCTTCACAGTTGCTTGCAGAGGAAGACGTCTCTGAAGCACATAAAGTAGAAAAAGAGATGAAATGAACCATGTACCTCAATCCAGCGTTGAGCCTCGGTGAATGCGTCTGCACAGCTGACACTGGTCTGCTGGCGCCACTCCATCTTCTGTCTTCAGAACAGGCAAAAAAAAAAAAGGCTCAAAACTAATGGAGGAGCAAAAAAAGGTAAGTTTAAGTTACACTAATTAATTATGGAGTATGAAAGACACGCACCACCACCAAGCAAATCAAATAAACTCAATTAAAGGCAACAAGCAGGTGGGGAAACTGATGCGCTGTGCTAGAAATAAAAAGCCTGGGGCAGCTTGTTCAGTTACCTGGTGCTGTGTGCAGCCGCTCGCCGGTGAAACTTCTCCACTAATTGACATCCAGTTTATCACCGGACACTCAGCACTTCTCCGCCCACTGTAAAACTACAAGCAAAGTTTCTGAAGTGAAGTGAAACCGAGTGGAACAGAGGGAAGATATGCAGTCTCATCGATCGACCCTCTGGTGGCCTGCTGGTGTATTACACTGTGGTCGGCAGTGAAGGAGCCAGAGAGGCTTCAGGGCAGCAGCCAGCAGTGACAAGGCAAGAGAAGTTTATTTGAGTACCTTTAAAACACATTCACAGTTAAATATATTTCCCCAAATTCAGTGGTGGAAATAAAATAAATAAAAAACCACCACTATGCCACTTTTCTATTCAATGCTTTACTAATGTGCCTCAATAATGAAATGTTTAGTGAGTTAAAATATCTTCATTAGGGAGCTTTTCCAAGCAAATATTGATATAATATGTGATTGTTTCTGAATTACATATATTTCTGCAACTGCCACCCCTAAAAGTCTCCATGGCACCCTCCTTGCCACTACATGAATATTTCCCCCTGCCCCCAGCAATTCACAGCAGATATGGCCCTGGGTCCTCAGCACATGTCCACTTAAAACCTAAGTAGCCTACTTGATTATTTTGTGACTTCTTTATTTTAGATAATAAATGACAGACGGCCTGCATCCAGTTGTTGCTCACAGACGTAAAAAGCCTCATGTAATCCACTAACTTCAGAGGGTGACGATCATTTAAATGACAAATGTGTAAAATAAAATGTTTGTGCAGCTACAGATATGTAAAATATCTTCACTTCTTTTATCCCTTCATTCTCCCTGTAAAGACAGCAGCTGCCTGATACCGTATGCAAAATATAACAGCATGTTTCAAGGGCAGGTCTCTTCATTCCCTTGCCTTTTATATTGAAGTGAAGGATGGCCTGCGACCATTTCATTCTCACACACAAAACTGCATATGTCTATGAATAGAAAATTGTTTTTCTTTTGTATTTTTTTTTCATATTTTAAAGAAAAGCATAATAAGAATCTGGTGGGTAGGCCTCATCTTGTATTACAGCACATGGTTACTCCAATTCAATTTCCTGCCAAAAGCCCAAGGAGGTGCTCTATATGGGGAACAAGGGCAATGATGGAATCACAGAATTTTAAAGTAAAATGAGGTTCAGAGGTGTAGGATACTGTAGAAAATTTAATGAGATGCCTATTAAGAGTACAAGAACATTATGCGAATAAATAATCTTCACAGACTTTCAATTCATTAGCTTAGCCAAGGAAATTAGATGATAATTTCCTGCACCATCTGGTAATATTATTACTCCAACAGAACAATAGGGATTATATTCTTTGCTTCAACCCTAAATCCTCTGGCTCACTTTTGTAAGTGTTAAATAAGAGTGAAAGTGTCCTCAATGTTCAGACATTTTTTTAAGCCACACTGTGTACAAAACATCTTCAAAAATGTTCAAGGACACATCCATTGACACTGTTTAACCTTTTTCTGATTCTGAAAAACAAGAGGTAGCCTGTGATAGAATGGACATTCACAGAATATTTCCCTTTTTAAGTGCAAAAGCTTGAATTATCTTATACATTGTCAGATCCCTGTCATGTTTATGCCAGTGTATTTATGTGAAAACCTCACCACAGCTGAGCTCTGTGTTCTATGTCTCTTTGCGGACTGAAGGAAATAGTACTCCACCACTTGTGCACATGTGACGCTAATTGGTCTTGAGTGGCGCACTTGAGAAAACACACTGATGCTCATCATCTTAATTGCAGGAATGAGGATTTGTTGCACATGCTTATCTACTACTGATTAGGAGGGGAATAAGATTTGTCAGTATCTTCCCAAGTATGAAAATCTCGTAAACTACCCCTGTAACGATTTATTCAAACTCTGTACCTAATATGACTTGATGTGTGTTAATTAGGTTTGTTCAAGGGTACCTGCAAAATAAATAGAAATAAATAAAATGAGAAGTGACTTGACAGTACAGAGATTAAACTTGTGGCAAGTTTTCTTATGACTACATCACAGAGCTGAAGAAATTATCTATTGCATTTATTCATGATGACCAGTAGGTGTTGCTGTAACTCTGCATGTGCATGGATCATTGGGGGGTGGGGGGTTGATGGCTTGGTATTGGGTTAGGAGGCTGGGGATGGTAGACTGAGTGAAATGGACAGTGACGACAATCTGATTTGCCTTCACATGAAGCAGTTGTTTCCCATATTTCCCATTTGTCTGTTCCCCTGGGTCTAGTCCAGTGTGAGAGGAGTGATGTGGTGCTGCCTAGAATACTCAGTTTTCAATTACACCCACTATCATTAGTGTTATCAACAGCAGCAACATCAACAGCTAATCTCCTTTCCATTATTTTTCAGATAGAATTTGAATTGAAAACCAAGAGCTTTGGACTTAAGTCTCAACAATATAAAAGATAAATGTATAATATTTCCACACAGAGATGTTTATTTACATATCTTAACCCCACTGAAGGCAGCCATGTCTGTGACCACTGGGACGTAAATGTAACTGTGTTGTTAATGTAAGCAGAATTTGATGGATATTGTGCAGGAACAAAAGTGATCCTGCAGTGTCTTTGTCTTCAAAAATGGTTGATATTACTGTTTTTAAACATAATTATGAAATTAAGCGTTAATGTCATTAATGTTAGTGTTATCTCTTATTTGATTGTGGTAACTCTAAAGCTTTTTAAATAAAAATATTTAAATATACTGCACATTTTCAAGATTTAGTCTGTGTCTAAATTCTGTTGCATAAAGAACAATGATAATTTGTGAACCATTCATCACAATGTGTAAAACTATGTATGTTCCTGGATGGTACTGAATTATGGAAAGCACAGTACAAAACGTAATAGTGGTAAGAGCAAAAACAGATAACAGCTTTAATAGGTCTCTCTCTCTATCACATTATATACAAATGAACACTGTGTGTGTTAAATGTATTTTTCGTTCCTATTCCAACAATTAAACCATATTACACCATTAGCTTTAGTCTCACTCCAACCCCCCGTCACTGTGGCATCAACCTGATATGTCTGTCTGCATAGCCAAAGTACTTTCTGTACTGTATTATATTAGCTATTTTACACAATGAGTGAGAGCTATAGTAATGTTATACTTAGTGCAGACTGCATTAGTGAATCATTAGGGTCATGGTACTTAAATCTGAGATCATTAGCTGGAGGGTCTCCCTACAGTGCTCCTTTGTGAACTGCAGAAAAGGTGGACGGAGAGGCTAAACTCTCCCCTTGCACTATAGAAGTTGTATCTAAGGCCATTGTTTAGATATTTTATCCAGATAATCATGCATACTAAAACAAAAAGTGCATACTAATTTACATATGTATTTATTTATGTAGCCCACACACATTAATTTCTGTGTAATTTATTCCTAGATGGATGCATGCAGATATCTACAGTATGCAGGTGTGTGCACTCTTACTTACCTGTTGCCTTTCTTCTATATTTTTAAAAGACAGAGGGAAATTAAATGACTATACCGTACCATAGTATAACTGTTATTGTGCCAATATTCTCTGTGTTGAAGGATAGAGAGAGTGATCAGCTCCAAACAGCTGCAATGTTATCATCTTGTCATTAGGGAGTATGATGTAACAATGAGTAAATATTTGTGTGCCTGGTATGAAGTGGATGAATAAAAGGTGAAAATTGAAGCCATACATTGTAGCAACAAATGGGGCTTGTTAAAAACTGCTACCCCGCTGTTATCCTTTCACAGATAATATATCAAGGATTTTCACGTCAACAGTGGAAGCAATTTTCCTCTTTCAGCGTCTTTGGCCCAGCATGCCACTTGTGCATATTTACGCTTCTCCATATTGTGAACTAAACCATGGATGACAGAATTAAAGCAAGGGATGCAGTATGTTATAGACAGATCATCAAATGAAAAAAGAAAAGAGAAATAATTGATAGTGCTTATTTTCAATGACTCCTTTAAAAACAGCCTTAAAACTCAGGCTTACAGTACTGTTTAGCTTCTTCACCTCCACTGTCCTCTCCTCCCCAGTGCCTGGTGTGTGTTGTCCCTGCCAATGTCTGAAACATTATCACAACAGGATGTGGGCTGGGATAACACTGAGAGTGCTTCCTCTGCAGTGCCAGTCACCTGGGAGATTCTTCAATTATCATTGCATTTTAATGTTACTTCTGAGTCTGAGCTGCACTGCAACTCAAAGGAAAGAGAGGGTGCAACATGAGCACTGGACTTGTGGGAAAAAAGAAGAATTGATCTTTTTTTTTTTTTGCCTTTCTGATTGCCTTTAAAGTGGTTTAGTAGTAGTGTCTGTACTCTCAGTTAATGCATTAAAATATTATAAATTGCAGTTTACTCCAATGGACATATGTTTGTACAGGCAGCAACTGCTGTACATTGCTGTCTAAAGGCCAGTTAGAGTTACTGATTACAATTCCTAGCATGAAGGTTGTAGTTTGAATATGTAGCTTTTCAGGCAGTTTTCATTCAAACAATTAAGAAAATGCAAACTGAAATTACGGATCTAAAGTTGTCAGCTGGCTGTGTGTGAGTGTACACTATTAGCCTCAAAATTGTTCTGTCTGACGCTGAACTGAATGTATAACTACTTTTGCAGATGTCCCCATTTTTTGTTTATAGTTGTATAGCAAATTAAGTTTTATAATGCTTTTATGATGTCTGTCGGGAAAGAGAAAATGTACACTTTCTCCAGAAGAGCAAAATCACCTCTGATGCCTGAGAAATTTAAATTAGGTAATCAAGTGTTCGCCCTTGACCACAGGAAAATTACAGAATTGTTTTGGAAGGTGTTTACCTTGAGAGAACATAGGAAGAAAATTAGCTTTAGATTTTAAATGCACAAAGATAATTTCAGGAAAACAAAGCAAAAAGAGACTATAGGCTCACAACAACTCAGAATATATTTTCTACTCTTGTTATAGTCTACTTAGATGCAAAACTACTAATTCTTAGGACAAATAAACTTTTTTTAAACTCCCATTGGATTAGCTGCATTACGACAAACCTGATCTCATAAAAAGTTGACTGTTTAGAAAAACGTGGTTCTCAGAGGACAGCGA